GTGAGCGTTGAGTGTTTAAACCCTACTGTTCTAAAAACACGAGTGAAAATCAACCAAACCCAGGGGGTGACTCAGACACTCAGACCCAGGTTTAAGGGGCTGTGTGTGCTGTATGTGGTCTTTCTCTACAAAACAAAATAAATCTGGGAGTGCAGCTTCTATCTCTCATCAACAGTGCTTAAGAAAAGAAATCATCACATCTCACTCTAAAATAAACCAGGAAACACTTTACAACAACAATAAAACAATCACAAAACAGAGATAGTATAACATCACAAGTGATATAGCTCTCTATGTTCATTGTACTTCAGGAGAAAAGAAGAAGAAAATTCATCTGAAACCACGACTCCAGTGTTTACTTTTTCACTTAGTGTACGTTTGCTTGTTTACGACAGGAAATTAGTGTTTTTAAGGCTACAGAATAAAGTCGGAGCCACAAGATTTCCTCTCTCAGTAGTAAGTTCTGGCTGTGATGAGGACAGTCTCCGAATGCAGGAAAAAAAACGAAAGAAAGAAAAATAGGCTTACAGATTGTCCAATAGTGATGTTAAAAATCAGCCAATGGGCTCTCGGCTCCTTCAAAGCATCAGACTGGTGTGCAAAACCTCACCTTCACACCTCAAATCCAGGTAAGGGCCACAGATAGGAGAAAAAAAAGATCCACAGTTCTTAATCTTTCCAGGTGAGGCTCTTCAGGTAAAAGTGTTTGCAGGAGGCTCCTCTGCTGCTCACACACACATGTATGAAACACACACACACACACACACTCCACCTTATTGCCTCTGTTTGTTTTAGGGAATTCACTCTCGCAGTTCAGTGACTCACAGAGGATACTCCTGCACACCCTGTTTTCACGTCTCCTGTCTGTGACCTCCGAGGGTCACTCCTGTGTGTGCAGGAGTATCCTGTAACACCATCTCCAGAGTCCAGGCGTCTTAGTGGCGCGTCTTATCTCACTTCATCCTGTTCTGCCGCATCAAAGGCACGATGCAGGACGGCGGCCCCCCCTTCGACAGGAACGGGTGCTTGAGAAGCTCGCTGGCGGTGGCCCTCTGAGCCGGGTCTCGCACTAACATCCGGTCCAGGAAGCTTTTGAGCAGAGGGGAGACCTGGGAGAAAAGAGACATCCAGGTGTTACTGATGCTAGAGTTAAGACTTTAATTGCTTGATGCCAAAACATCCAGCTGTTAATCTAACAACCAATCAGATGCTTCATTTAACCACATTGGTTAGTTACTCACAGTTTACTTGTTTTGTTAAAACATGAATAAAAGTTGAAGCTTGCACTTTATGTTTACCGATTGTGTTTAGATGCCAATGAAGTTACAAGCCGCCAAAGGCAGGAAAAACACTGTTACAAGCCAAAGACTCAAATATTTTAGTTCAAAAACAGCCTCAAACTGTTTTTATGTCCCTGAGAGCAGACATGCCTGACACAGTCATATCAGGCACATGGAAGCTGCACAGAAGCTTTACCTCCCTGCAGGAGCAGAAACAGCTTTTTTCAGACCGTGTGCACCGAGGGATCCAGAATAAATAAAAGTAGCATTAATTCGAATTGTGAATCATGTAGAGTTACTCTGGGAGAGTCCAGGATTAAAAATATCAAGATGGGAATGAGAGTCTTAGCTCCCTTTGAACACTGCTTTTAATCTGAAAGCGTACTGCCCTGATGGATGTGATACTCTTTAGCTCGTTTTGATGCGTTCTCAATCATCCAGGTAGGTAAATCTCCAGAAGTTGCTTCTGTTCGTCTGGAAGTAGCGTTTCCAGTGGGAGAAACGTTTCATCACTCATCCAAGTAACTTGGACTGACTGAAGAAGTCACTTGGATGAGTGACGAAACGTTTCTCCCACTGAAAACGCTAC